ATATTTTCAGGAAACCTGCATTGACGGAAATACGCATCATATGCAATGTAAATATACGTAGAGTCAATTAGGTCGATAGATATGTATATGTACATATGCAAATATGCATACATGCATACACATGCAAACATATATACTTATATAGACAGTTTTAGAATATGCATAGAAGCATTCGAAGGAGGAACACCAGATCAAAAAATATGTTTTGAAAACAGCTTCTATTACCATTAACATTATCTTTATCATAATCATTATCGATATTATCAGCATCATCAAGATTATTGGTATGATTAATATTATTATTATCAGCATTATCATTATGATTATCATTAGCATTGTGATAATATCATCATTATTACTTTTTCTATTCTCTTTACAGTTATTAGAATTACTATCATCAACAGTATCATTATTACTATTATTATCATTGTCACTGCAGTTATTATGATCATCTTTTCTATCATTATTACTATTATAATCATAGTTATCATAACTGGTATCATTATCATAATGCATATAGATACCGTCGGGAATATCGCCGTACGTCGATACTAATCATACATATATATGTATACACACACACACACACACACATTATATATATATATATATATATATATATATATATATATATATTGTATATATACTGCACACATATATAAACGAGTATATGCATACGCGTGTGAGTGTGCGTGTGTCTGCAATATGCACAGTTGTATGAACATCGTTTCACATACCTTTTGTTCTTTTTTACCCTGAAAAATCATCCAAAAATCGCCCGTGTCCCAAGACCTTTTGGGAAAGGTCAGTGAAAACACAAAGTTCAGCTATGCTGATTTCCATTCCCTGGTAACCTTTGAAATCAATGGCATAAATAATGCACTGACCATAAGTTCTAAGGCCTCCAAGCGACGAGATTTGGAGTGCAAGAACGCCATGTAAACAAATACTTTGGGACAGATTTTTTCTTATTTTGGTGGGGGATTATACATAAATAACAACCGGTATAAAACTGTATATAAGTACAAAGATATTACGGATAAGATAAACAAATACTTTGGGACAGTGCTTTTTCTTAGTTTGGTGGGGGGTTAAGCATAATTAACAAGTATAAAACTGTATATAAGTACTAAGATATTACGGATAAGATATCTTATGAGACTCAAAAGCTTTGGGACACATTTCCAATTAATATGCCTTTTGTTTGATTAAAAAAGATGGTTAAAAGTTTTTTAGTGCTATGGAATGCAGTTTCTTTGGCGTATATGGTACTCAATCACACACATCCAGAAGAACATTAAATGGGTGACCAGTCGTTACATTTGGGTAAACTTGTGCGATTCCCTCCATCAGATAGGAACGAGGTCCTTCACCTTCTGTGGGTCCTTCCCAGCACCATAAGTACGGGGAGAGGCGCTGGGGTCGAAGCAGAATCCTGAACGCCCTCGCGGAAACGCAAGCAGGTAAGGGGGCCACTTTTTAGAAATCTCTCTCTTCTTTTGGTGTCAATGGTGATATGTAAATACCGATCATAGACGTAATATCTTAATGATAATATTTTATGGACAGAAAATAATGCATCCCGCATATATTTTCCATACATATTTTTAAACCACTAAATTCCTCTTCAGCTTCAACCACAATATAACCATGAACTCTCGCGTGTTCGTCGCTCTCCTCCTGTGCGGCCTCTGGGCCTCCTCCGAGTCTCTCATCCTCTTGGGAACCACCGCCGCAGCCGGGACCATCGCCGCTACCACTGTCACTGCTTCTGCAGCAGCAGCTTTGGGCGTGGGCGCCCTGGCAGTGCTCAAGGGAGTTCTTATCGGGAAGCATCTCAAGCGCCGTTACAGGAGGGACGTCGATTCTATGGAGATCGACGATGAAGCTGAGGTATGTACTGACGATGTTAAGAGGAATGTTCATATTGCAAGTTCAGATGGACAAATTATATTTCTAAACGTGCTTCTCACCAACACAGATGATATGCACTGCGCGGTGTATCTAATCCCATATATTTTCCTCCTCCAAAGGTGGCCGTCGCCAAGGAACTGGATTCGGCCGGCTGCATCGCCAAGTTGCTGTGCGAGATCGAGGCGACGCCCGCCGACAGCCTCACCCCATCCATGTCCACCTTCAAGACGGCCTTCGAGAATCCCGACAACCTCAAGTCCTCCCGCATCGAGTACGACCAGGCCATCGCCCTCGCCAAGGACGACCCCAAGGCGTGCAGCGTCCGATTCGACAAGTGTGTCCTTTCAAGGGAGGATCTCTTCGTCATGCTCGACACCGTCTTCTCATGCTAGATAAAACCTCACATCACTCATTTTATACTCACCCATCACTCATTTTATATAAGCAATTGTCCTCAATGAATTTACTTGATGTTCCCTTTCTCATCTTGAACAATCATTCAATCATTACACATTCTAATTCACATCCACAACCATGAGGAAATGCAACTGTGATTCCCTTTCCCTGAGCAGAGATTAGCTGTCAAGAGTCAAAGGCTGGAATCTCGTGCAAAGTGTGACTGACTAGAACTGAAAACCTGCCTCTGAGCTTGCAATAAAGACTAAAATTGATCCCTTTCGATACTTATTTATAAACCTGTCTCTTTACTACAATTCTATAAAAACACATGCGTGTACACACTCACACACACATTTATATATATACATATAATACATGGACATATACATATATACATTACGTATATTTGCATATATATATATACGCACGTATACATATAGATTGATAAGTTATATATACATTTATATGCAAATACACAAACAAATGTAGATATTTGAATTCGACTCTTGATGTAATATTTTCACCACACGCCTGAGCAATATATTCTGAATACAGTTGACTTACAGTGTGGCCACCATATACCACCACCGAATACGAACTGTTCAGCACACGGCGGATTCGCACGGCTCCCTGGCGATGAATCTGCGGATTCAAAACAAGCGTTTTCATAGAACGTTCGCGTAGGACTAGTATGGCCGGCTAACGAACTAGGAAAAATTACTCATTAGAGCAATCCTATAAATGAAATTGAATTATTCATAAACATAGCTTAGGCCACAGCATTTTTTTTCTTGAATAGCGGGCAAGTCTGGTGATGATGACATATTGGCGGAAGGGAAAAAAATCCCCAGCACCAAAATAAGAGTGTACCTCCTACCTTCCAAAGATCAGAAGTAAAGGAATGTATCAGTTCCAGCCCCACCTGGAGGAAGTACAATTCTGCCTTACTGCAAGTCTTCTAGGAGTTGAATACAAACTAAGAATTCTTTCAACCAGAATTTATTATTTTGGAAAAAAAAATCGACATATATATATATATATATATATATATATATATATATATATATATATATATATATATGCCATTTTGTACAGGTAGGAAAAGGATATGAAATGAAATTCAACATAATGCGAAATACGCCAGTACTGATCAGAAGCGACCACCGACCACGGGCACGATAGACAACAGACATGGCATGACGCATGAGAGTAAGGTATTTCCACCAAATATATTTTATTTTTGTTTTGGGGACGGGAGAAACGATGCCATACACAATGAATCATAGACAAATTTATTTATATTTATTCATTTGCTATTTCTTTCGCGGACGTCACAATATCGGCGGGAAATTTGAAAAAAAAATCGGGATTTTCTTTTTTTTTTTTTTTCTTGGAAATAAATGTCGGCGGGCCCTATTCAAGAAAATAAAAAATGCTGTGGCCTTAGAGTATGAAGTGATACGAGGAATACTTCATAATTCTTTTGCACATACACATATGTGTAAGTGTATATTATATATAGATATATATTTATATATATAAATCAGTATATATAAATGCGTATATATACATGTGTCTTTGTGTACTGATGTATTAGTAATTTACATGATTTAGATAAATAGACAGGCAGGTTGACAAAAATATATATATATATACATATGTATATACATATATATTACGTATATCAACAAAATACATAAGTATAAGCATACATATAATTTCCTTTTGAAAAGCACGTTCAGAAAGGCATATATATACTTTTCTATATAAACTTGTGTGTATATATTCACATATATAAACACACAGACACATATACATGTATATATATGTATATATATACATTTATATATACAAGTACGTACGCTAATAAAGATATAAAGATCTGTACGTATATGTATATACATATACCTGTATACACTTATACATACATATGTGCATGTGTATATGTAATTGTATATATGTATGCATGCATATGTATACACATGTGTATGTATGTATATATGTGCACGTACACACACACACATATATATGTGAGCAAGTGTATGTATGTGTGTGTGTAAATCCATCTAACAGCTATCTATATACATATATATATATATATATATATATATATATATATATATATATATATGCACACACCCACACACGTGCGTCTGTGGATTTAAAATGTGCATACAAATACATATAAAGCGATGTCTTGTAACGAACGTTCAGAGAAGCAGATACAAGCACATTTGTGCGTTGAGGAAGCACGTACGTAAGGATTGAAATACTATACTAATTTAACGTCAATAGGCCTTACCTGCACCATAGGATACGTTCGCTTTCCCTCTCACCCAGGATCAGGTCCGTCACCCCCCTCGCTATAAATATCGCGCTCTGCAGGAACCAACATCACACTCGTCCTCTCACTGCTCCAGAACACAAGCAGGTAAGGGACAAAGATCCTCTTTTCTGGTTCTTCTGAAATTGTTTCCTGTAAGACTCTTGAATGTCTCAGGTCGTCGACTTCTGACGATTTTAGCTTTCTGCGTAGCCTCACTGTCAACTTTTCTCCTCACAGACTCCGCCACCATCATGAATTCTCGCGTGTTTGTCGCTCTCCTCCTGTGCGGCCTCTGGGCCTCCTCCGAGTCTTTCATCCTCTTGGGAACCACCGCCGCAGCCGGGACCATCGCCGCTACCACTGTCACTGCTTCTGCAGCGGCAGCTTTGGGCGTGGGCGCCCTGGCAGTGCTCAAGGGAGTTCTTATCGGGAAGCATCTGAAGCGCCGTTACAGGAGGGACGTCGATTCCATGGAGGAGGACGTTGCAACAGAAGTAAGTTAACGCTTATATCAATTACATTCACAAAATTTAATTGTGCAATTATGTATATGTAGAATGAAAGACATACATAAAGGAATTCTGGACTTTACTAATATTCTTTTCACTCCAACAGATTGCTGTGGCCCAGAAGATGGACTCTGCTGGTTGCGTGGCCAAGCTCTTGTGCGAAATCGAGGCCATGTCCGCTGACCAGCTCACGCCAGCCATGTCCACCTTCAAGACCGCCTTCGACAACAACAGCAACCTCAAGGGATCCCGAGGCGTCTACGACCTGGCCATCACCTTCGGCTCCAAGTTCGCCAAGAAAGACGCCAAGGCCTGCAGCGCCCTCTTCGACAAGTGCGTCCTCTCCAGGGACGATCTCTCCTTCATGCTGGATTCCACCTTCTCATGCTAGTCATGAGCACCATTCTTACACTAAGCACCTCACAATCACACCATCACCAAGCATACACGCAGGCAGACTGAGTGGATCGGAGTCGTCACTGTGACCGAAGGTAGCTTTCAGACTGTCACTGACTGGACCTGAGAGTCACAGTGAATATCTGCAGTGTTCATAACGCTATTCATTCTTGCTCACCATCAAGTGAAATAAATCATATTTCTCCGAAAAATTACATTTATTTTCCAATCCTTCGCTAAATACGCATATAAGTAATGGAATATATAAAATATATGTCTGCCTATATATTTATATACATTTTTGAATGTGTATGCATGTATAAATGTGTGCGCGCACATATAGACCATCTCTATCGATTCTTTGATTTTGTTCACAGTTCATTTCCCAGGGTGGATTTTTGGCCATATCATGCTGGCCACTTTTTGTTTGATATCCTTATTAATCATAGACACACCTATTTCATAACTTCGGAAATCCCCATTTTACTTTTTTCACATGGCGACAACAGCAGCCGATTGCTAGGTTGCTGAGACAACTAACTTCAGCAGACCAGCCGGGCCAAGGGAGAGAAAATAGGCACACATCTGCAGATATATGGATGAGTCCTATAACAAAGTAAAACGTTACAACCTTTTGGGAAATCTTTAGAGTTTATAGAGAAGTTTAGGTAGAGTGTTATGCATATGTACATATGCATAAACACGCACATACATGCACACGCATGCATATCAATATATATATATATATATATATATATATATATATATATATATATATATATATATATATATATGGTGAGCTTTTTATTCCATGTTAAAAGCATTCGATGGAGGGAGACCCTAGATTCTATCATTATAAACATTATCTTAATCATCATTGTCATTATAATCACCAGTACCATTATCGCTATAAATATTATTAACATTATATATATCATTAACGCCATTAATGCTATTGATAATTTGTATCATAAGTATTATTAACATAATTCACATCATTATCATTACCATTATTACTATAATTCTTACAGTTTTTATGATCATCATTATCGCTATTATTATTAGCATTACTACCATTCTCAATGTAGTTATCATTATTGTCATCTTTATCACTATCACTACCATTATAATTACCGATATCATAACTGATATTATCATCATAATACATACAGAAAAAGTCGGAAATATCGCAACTACATCAATACTGGATATACTATACATATATACCTATCTATCTATATATATATACACACATATATTTAATGTTATATAAATATATATATAACATTATATATATGCCTACTTTATAAGTTCTCAAACTCCATTTTCCTTTTTCACATGGCGACAACAGCAGGCGATTAGCTAGGTTGCCGAGACAGCTAACCTCAGCAGACCAGCCGGCCAAAGGAGATATAAAAGACAGCTGCAAATCTGCGGATGAGTTCTACGACAAAGTAATACGTGAACGACCTTTCGGGAAAATCTTTTGTTTAGAGAGAACCAAAGTGGACGGAAATACACATGCTGTGTAGATAGGTAGAGATCTATATGCATGTACACATGCATATATAAAAATATATACATATACACACGCGCGCTCGCACGCACACACGGACATGTATAAATATATATAAAGAGTGAGGCCATGTTAGATTATATTATCATTATCATCTTTATTGTCATTATTGCATTAATATCAATACCATTATCATTAATAGTATTAACACAACATTATCATCATATTATTAACATTTTCTATGTTATCAACATTAACATTATCAATTTTATCAACATTATTGATGCTATTACTAATATGATTCACCTCTTTATCATTACGATTATTATTATTTCTTTTGTCATTAAAGTTATTATCATCGTTATCACTACCATTACTACCATTTTCATTACAGTTGTTATCATAATCATTATCTTTATCATTATCACTATCATTATAATTATCGTTATCGCTATTGGTAACATTATCATGATACATATAGAAAACGTTGGGAATATCGCCACTACGTCATTAGTGAATAATATACTCATATATACATATAGATATATGTCATATATATATATATATATATATATATATATATATATATATATATATATATATATATATATATATATATGTATGTATGTATATATATATATACATATATATATATATATATATATATATATATATATATATATATATATATATATAATATATATATACGATATATACATGCGTGTGCACCCATGCCAAGTTCTATGGCAATCGTTACAATACCTTGTTTTCCGTGTTTTTACCCTGAGAAATCGTCCAAAAATCCCCTTTGTCCTAGGACTTATTTGGCATGGGCAGGTAATGCCGAAGGTTCAGCTATGCTGATTTCCTTTCACTTATATCCTTTGAAATCAATAGCACAAATAATACACTGGCTGTAAGTTCGTAGTCCTCCAGGATACAAGTTATGGAAGTGAAAAAATGTATTGTAAGCCAATATAAGATAGAGGCTCTAAAACTATATATAAGCATTTATTTGCTGTGAAAATTATATCTTGTGGAAATCAAACGTCTTGGACACGTTTCCAAAATAGATGTGCTTTTTATCTAATCATAAGAAAAAAATAGCGAAAAGCTCTTCCGTATATGGTATTCACACACACCAGGATAACATTAAGTGGTGAACTTACCCGATTTCCCCCATCAGGGGGGACGAGGTCCTTCACCTTCCGCAGGTACTTCCCAGCGCCATAAATACGGGGAGAGGCGCAAGGATCGCCGTCAGAATCCTGTGCGCCCTTGCCGGGAACACAAGCAGGTACGGGGGCGGGACCAGTGGACCACTTTTTAGAAATATCTCTGTTACTTCTTTTAGTGTCGATGGTGATATGTAAATACCGATCATGGACTTGTACTATCTTAATGATAACATTTTATCGACATAAAATATTTTCTTACATATATATATATATATATATATATCACCCCACTAAATTCTTTCTTCAGCTTCAACCACAATATAACCATGAACTCTCGCGTGTTCGTCGCTCTCCTCCTGTGCGGCCTCTGGGCCTCCTCCGAGTCTCTCATCCTCTTGGGAACCACCGCCGCAGCCGGGACCATCGCCGCTACCACTGTCACTGCTTCTGCAGCGGCAGCTTTGGGCGTGGGCGCCCTGGCAGTGCTCAAGGGAGTTCTTATCGGGAAGCATCTCAAGCGCCGTTACAGGAGGGACGTCGATTCTATGGAGATCGACGATGAAGTTGAGGTATGTACTGAAGATGTTAAGACGGTTCATACCTCAAGCTGTTAGCATGAAATGGACAAAATATATAACTAAATCGTTCTTTCACGAACACAATCAATATTTACGCACTGCGCGGAGTGTATCTAATCCCATATATTTCCTCCAAAGGTGGCCGTCGCCAAGGAAACTGGATTCGGCCGGCTGCATCGCCAAGTTGCTGTGCGAGATCGAGGCGACGCCCGCCGACAGCCTCACCCCATCCATGTCCACCTTCAAGACGGCCTTCGAGAATCCCGACAACCTCAAGTCCTCCCGCATCGAGTACGACCAGGCCATCGCCCTCGCCAAGGACGACCCCAAGGCGTGCAGCGTCCGATTCGACAAGTGTGTCCTTTCAAGGGAGGATCTCTTCGTCATGCTCGACACCGTCTTCTCATGCTAGATAAAACCTCACATCACTCATTTTATACTCACCCATCACTCATTTTATATAAGCAATTGTCCTCAATGAATTTACTTGATGTTCTTTTCGAACAATCATTCAACCATTACACATTCTAATTCACATCCACAACCATGAGGAAATGCAACTGTGATTCCCTTTCCCTGAGCAGAGATTAGCTGTCAAGAGTCAAAGGCTGGAATCTCGTGCAAAGTGACTGACTAGAACTGAAAACCTGCCTCTGAGCTTGCAATAAAGACTAAAATTGATCGCTTTTGATACTTATTTGTATACCTGTCTCTTTACTACAATTTTATAAAAACACATGCGTCTGTAGACACACATATATGCATATATATATAATACATGCACATATACATATATACATATACCTATATATACATATATATACATATACATATATATACATATATATATATATACATATATATATATATATATATATATATATATATATATATATACTCATATAGAATGATAGGTATATATACATTTATATGCATATAAACAAAAAATGTAGATATTTGAATTCGACACTTGCTGTAACATTTTCACTACACGCCTGAGTAATTCACTATGAATACATTTGACTTACAGTTGGCCAGCATTAACCACCATCAAACACGAACTACTCAGCACTCGGCGGATTCGCACGGCTCCAAGACGCTGCATCCACGGATTCAAAACAAGCGTTTTAATGGAATGTTCGCGTAGGAGTGGCATGGCCGGCTTACAATCTACGATAAATTTACTCATTAGATAGAACAATCCATTTCTTATAGATAAAATTCAATTATTCATACACATAGCTTAGAGTATAAAGTGATACGAGGAATAATTCATGATTATTTTCTACATACACATATGTATGTATGTGTACATATATATAATATATATATATATATATATATATATATATATATTATATATATATATATATATAAGAGAGAGAGAGAGAGAGAGAGAGAATATCTATAGATATATTCATATCTATGTACATGTGTAAATATACTTTGTATTTAAGCATATATATGTATATTCAATATATACATATTAACATATATATTCATATATATGTTGTGCATATATGTGTGTGTGTGTATATACATATATGAATCTATGCATACATATATAAATCTATACATATAGATAAACATACACATACATACATATATACATACTCCCCTCACACACACGTAAACACGCACACAGACACACAGACACACACACACACACAACACACACATATATATATGTATATAATATATATATATATATATATATATATATATAT